CTATGAATTCGCTAAGCGAGCAGTATAGCGAGTGTGACAGAACAACATTTTATTTTTGTTTCAATCCAATATCGATTCTTCAATGTGTAGCTTGTGTGTTGTTATATGTTATGTTGTGGGTAGTCGTATGGCGTGAATCCTAGATTATGGAATGGATTGTGAAATGTGGCCTTTTGGCAAATGAATGCATTGTTTTAATTGAATGTGAATGCATGATAATGGTGATAGAATTCATTACCGTTTGGCGTAATTGAATGTGAATGTATTTGGATCTTATGTGATAGAATGAGATGAATGCATGAATATATATTGTGATGTGTATGCATTTCAAGAATGTCTAGAGTCATTTTGCATGTGAAGCATAATAAAGTGCATTCTTGCGTTGGGGATTCTAATGAGAACCCGTTGTAACATCTTGTGCCTATATGAGGTGTGAGAGATGATTACAAGCGATTGTGTGCCCATGTGGGGTGTGAGCAATCCATAAACATTGTGTGCCCAGGTGGGGTGTGAGCAATGTGTGAAAATCGTGTGCCCATGTGGGGTGTGAGCGATGGTTCCAATAAGTTCCTGAGTGAACTTGTGATGATTGAGTCGGTACCGCATTACATTTGCATAGAGTCGTGAGTCAGTCTCTATGATTTGCATTTATCATCTTTATAATGATGCATTGGTGACTGAACATAAATTGTGTATGTTTATGTGGAATGATGGAATTGTGAAAGTATGCATGATGAATATGCTTGGATATATATATATATATATATATATATATATATATATATATATATATATATATATATATATATATATATATATATATATATATATATATATATATATATATATATATATATATATATATATATATATATATATATATATATATATATATATATATGCATTTTGATGTATATGAGTGAGTTGTGATGAATTGTGGTGAGAATGCAGAATATGTGTATTTATATGCTGAGATATATGATTATATGCATTGTTATTATGATAATATTTCTCACCCTTCTGTTGTTTTATGATGCTCTATGAGGCATTGCATAGTAGGTTTGATGGAGTTCTTTTTGTGAAGCGTGTCTTCATTCTTTTGGTCGGTCGGCTCTGATATGTAGCACCGAGTAGCTAGGATGTTTGTGATTCTTTTGTGATACATTTGTATATGTATCTTGTTGTTGAATGTTTATGAAAACATGACCTTGTTGTTGAATCATACTGGTTGATATATATATATATATATATATATATATATATATATATATATATATATATATATATATATATATATATATATATATATATATATATATATATATATATATATATATATATATATATATATATATATATATATATATATATATATATATATATATATATATATATATATATATATATATATAAGTTTGATGTTATTTAATATTTAGATTTTCCGCTTTTATTCTAAATAGTGAGATGTGGGTTTAAGGACTAAGTTCCTCTGTTGCAAAGTTACCCCACTATTGCATATCTGTTGTTGAGCAGGTGTTGTATGTTTTAATTTCACGTATAATGTGACATACCTCTTTTATACCATGTTATTAATTATACTCTGACGAGACAGTCAACTTAGACGAGAAAAGGTTAAGCGTTTTAGACGTACTGATGCGACATAAGGCGCGAGTAGCTAAGGCATACAATAAAAAGGTAAAGGGAAAAGCCTTCGCAGTGAATGATTATGTTTGGAAAATGATTCACCCAATGGATTGAAAAGGTCGAACATTAGGAAAATGGTCACCAAGTTGGAAAGGACCATTTCAGGTGATTCAAGCATTCACAAATAATGCCTATAAAATTCAAGAGTTAGATGTTGATCAACGAATCTTAAGAGTAAACGGGAAGTATTTAAAGAAATATAAATCCATGCTCCAAGAACTTCATATTAAAGAAAAATGAAACTTTTTATTGATAGAAGGTCGAAGACGGCTTACAAAATGGCCAGCAAAAAAGTCAAAATTACATCATTTCAAGACAAGACAAATAACTAGGCTAAAAATCTAAACTTAAAATCTTCCAAGAGATTTGTCTCGTAGGCAATCCAAACGTCTAGACGGGCTTTCTTTTCCACCAACTGTGCAATCTGATCCTTGATTTGAAGATTCGTCTCGCCATGGGCAATCCCCTGACGTACTTCTTGGTCGATGGCATCTTGAGACGGCAGGGGTTCAGACGTATCCAGTGTAGCCTTTTGTTGTCGAACCTCAGCAATCTTCTTGTTGAGATCTTTTACATGGGCTTGATACGTCGAGATTTACTGGTCGAATACCTGATGTTTGTTGAGGCGCTCTTGACATTTGGTCTCGAAATCGGTTAGTTTCTCGCTCAACACTAGCATGAAACTATTTGAATACTACAAACACATGATTTTTTGTTTTAAGGGCATATACACAAACTTTTCTAGAGTAGTCATCAATAAAGGTAACAAAATACCTTGCACCTCCGTGAATACTAGTGGTCATTAGGCCACAAACATCAAATGCACTAAATCTAAAACATTGGGTCTTTTATGTGGGATGTATATTTAAATGAAGTTTTATGTTGTTTTCTGATCAAGCGATGTGTACATGGCTCAAGAGATATTTTAAATCCTCTCATACTTCCAAAGTACCTATTTTGGCTAGAATTTGAAGTCTTTTCTCCCATTATTTCGAGCAGCTTATGTCATAGCTTAACCGAGAAATATTCTTCGAGAGCATTAAAACACCCATTATTGACTTTGGTTTCACTCACATAAATAGTGCTTACTTTCTTTCCTTGGAATATTACCAAGGAACTTTTGTTAGCTTCCATTTTCTATCCCCAAACACACTAGTATAGCATTCTTTGTCTAGTAGTTTAGTGGATATTATATTAAGATGCATTTCATGAACATGTCTCGCATCTTTTAGTGTTAGGTGATAACCCTTGTTTGCTTCTTGGAAAAAATCTCATTTTCCCACAATCATGGATCTATTATCATTGTCCGTCTTCACATGACCAAAACTATCGCATGTATAAGCGGAAAAGAAATTCATTTGTAAGGTTACAAGGAATGATGCACCACAATCCACGATCCGACATGTATCTTGAGATGTCAAATTAACATGGTCATCATCACAAACATAAATTATCTCATTGCCTTGAAAAATGGTAGCGACTATATTACTCACATCATTTTCTTGCTAATCCCTTCTAAATTGCCTCAATTATCTCTCATGTGACCTTTTTAGTGACACTAATAATATTCTATATTTTTTCTTGCATGCGATCTTCCCTTATATTCATCTATTGATTTGCCATTTGACTTATCTCTAGTATTGAACTTCTGATGGATGCTTCTTCAACGATACTATATGACAATTGCCTTAGACTTTGTCAACATTTCCTGTTCCTTCCTTATTGATTCTTCGTTGAGCATACTATATTTTACTATGTCTAATGTTAGAACATCTTGTGGTGATGAGTTGCTTAACAAAACCACAAGTGTGTCGCAATTATCTAGTAAGGAACTTAGTTGTAACAATGATTATAATTCATCTTCAAGCACCATATTCATATCGGTGAACTTATTTACTAATATTTAAAAATCGCTCAAGTGTTCATAAACACTCTAGTTTTCTTTATACATGAGGTTCACCAAACGCTGAATAGTAGAAGTTTTATTTTTGGTCGTCTTTATCTCATACAAGGTTTCTAATTTCGTCCATAACGTGTGCGCAGATGTTTTTTGCACAACATGATGCAATACACTTTGATTTATCCATTATCGAATTTGTCCAACTGTTTTTTTTATCAAATTCTAATCGTCATTGAATTTGTCGGTTGGCTTCATCCATTTATTTTGCAAAAATTGATACAAATCTTTGTAATAGAGTATGTATTCTATTCAAAACTTCCAAATGCAGTAGTTTTGAGAGGTTAACTTAATCATTGTTGTTGATGTCGTCGGGGTAGACTCGTCCATTATGAATGATATAAGTTAAAATGTGTGATATGTCGAAACTCTGATACTACTTATTAAACAATATACTAATTAAAACACCCAATACAAGACCAACATATAATTGATTATCCCACGATCATTTTTTTTCAATAATAATAATAATAATAATAATAATAATAATAATAATAATAATAATAATAATAATAATAATAATAATAATAATAATAATAATAATAATAATAATAATAATAATAATAATAATAATAATAATAATAATAATAGAACAATAAAAATATTCTCATTCTAATATGGATAAGAATACAAAATGATTATTACAATTCTCACCGACACAAATGGTAATTTGAATTAATTATTTGATTAATCAAATATAATAGTCTTTATCTTTATATAGTTATTAATATCAATTAGTGGTATAATAAGAAAGAAAAAACGAATTTGTATTTTTCAATCATAAATTTTTTTAAGATATTTATCATAAATTCATATACAAATTTTAAGAAAATTTTATAAAAAAAGACTATCTATAAGTAAATTTGTATTTTATAATTAATCATCGATAGAATATTTGCCGATATAAAAAACTTTCCTTCCTTGTTAATTGCACATATTTGGCCATTGCATGTTACTACTATACTACTAAAGCAAAAAACTGTTCACATTTTCTTCATTTAATTGCGTATACGAGTTAACTTGTTTGAAATATACAAAGCCAGTAATAAAAAATGGTTCCATTTTTCATTCTTTTAAACTTTCATGGAAAAATGTCTGAGTTTACAAGACATTCCTAGTTAAACCATGTTCATTTAATGCATGTAGATCACACAATAATTCTTTCTATAGTAAGAGAATAACACGTTTTTAGTCCACATCACAATTTGATCAATTTGAGTTTGTATTATTTCCTATGAGATAATCATCCTAAACTAGACCTATAAAAACCAATGTGGGTTAGTGTATGTGTATCATTTCTTGAACACAAAATAAAGAAAATTTGAAACTTATTCAAGTAATGGAAAAGCTCATTTTCATTGGTATTGTAGTGCTTATGGGATTGTTCACCTCAGAGCTAAGAGTAACATCAGCAGTTTGGCAGCAAGCTCATGCAACTTTCTATGATGGACCTAAGGGTAAAATATACGCAAATGTGTCAACAATTGTAGTTTTTTTTTGTTATAGATCGCAATTTAAAACTATAAAAATGCGTAATTTATATGTTTGATTTGTGTCTACATTTTGTAGGGGGTGCATGTGGGTATGGAGATCAAGTAATAGATGTTTATGGAAAAAACACAGCTGCTTTGAGTATGGCTTTGTTTAATGATGGGAAATCATGTGGTGGTTGCTATCAGATTGTTTGTGATGCAAGTCAAGTACCCCAATGGTGCCGCAAGGGAACTTCCATAACAGTTACTGCCACTAATTTCTGTCCCCCAAACTATAATCTCCCTAGTGATAATGGTGGTTGGTGTAATCCTCCTAGGCCACATTTTGACATGTCTCAATCCGCTTTCGAATGGATCGCAATCTATAGAGCAGGGATTGTTCCAATCCTTTACAGAAAGTATGTTTTATATAATCACTCTAGCCTTTATTATTCGATCTGTGTATCTGAATTATATATAGACTAGATAACTAATATACTGGTCAATGTTGTGTTATATTTATGCAGGGTTGGGTGCAAGAGAGATGGAGGCATGAGATTTACAATGAATGGGAATGATTACTTTAATTTAGTGGTTATAAGCAATGTAGGGGGAGCAGGGGATATTTCCGGTGTTTGGATCAAAGGGTCAAAAATGGAAAATTGGGAATCCATGTCAAAGAGTTGGGGTGCTAACTGGCTAAGCTCAAGGTATCTTAATGGTCAAAGCCTGTCCTTCAGAGTTCAACTCAGTGATGGAAGAAGTGTTATAGCTAAAGATGTGGTACCCTCTAGTTGGAAATTTGGTCAAACATTCATCAGCAATGTTCAGTTCTGATAGAAACAATACTCATAAATAAATGCCATTTATACTATAATAAATCAGATATGCTATTTGAACACATTCCAGAGAAATCAAATACTGGACACAGTAGTTTAGTGTTCCCAAACCACATGTACTCTCTCACTTGTTTATATGACTATTGTTACAAAATTGCCCTTACATATATAATATATATACAGTGCTATAATATCATTTCTATTGATAAATATATTCATGTTAAGTTGGTATAAGAAGGGAGAAAATATGTTATTAGTAAGTTAGCTAAGAAATTGTGCATTCGCAAGACAAATAATTTTTTATTTAATTGATGGCCAAGAAATTAGCTATTTTTTAGAATTTATTTTTACTTCAATGACATGATTGAAAAAGTTTAGTGACACTCATTCTATTACTTAGATAATCCTCATGTTTGTCTAAATTTCCTAGGAATATTATTGATTTTCTAGAATTAAGTTTGACAAAATGATTTAATAGTTCACATGTTTTCAGACAGTTTAAAAATTTCAGTGTCATGCTTTTGTTATCATTTGTTTTTAAAATATTTAGTATGCTTGTATGTATTTTTATCAACTTTTCAAAACCACGATAAAAAATACATGTAGTTTAACCGAGCTTTTCAGAATATCCGATAAAAATGCATGAGAAATATGAGTTTTTAATGGACATTTTAAAAATATCGGAAAAAATGCATATTATTAACAAAAAAAAATCTGAATATTCTCAAGTTCAATGATGAAGCCCACACCAACTGTTTAATGAAATAATATTCTGAATATCATCTCAGTAGTGTAATACATGAAGATCACCTAATAAAGCACAGTTAGCATTCTAGCCATTAATATAAGCTTATACAATATCTTTCACAGGTTGATGTAAATTATGCCACTAACATCACATTAATGTCATCTCCGGACACGGTGACGTTCTCGTTTCTTGAAACGCTCTAACATGAATTGGTCTGTTGCAGCCTGCCTCTGTATCGCACCAGCGGCATCACTGCCGGTATCATTTTGTTTGGATGCAGAGCTATCATCCTGTAGACTTCTCTCTTTGTACAACTCAGGATGTTCTGCAAATTAGTTAGCTTTTCTTGTCAGTAATCGGTATGGTTTAAAACAAGAGCAAAAAAATCAAAAGTCCTCTATCTGTGAGAGGCAAAGGCCGCAAAATGCCACAAAATGAATTCATCGGTAACTAAATCAATACTGACAATGACATGGAATTTAACAGCATACATGTAAAAATTTATATATGTAACCGATGGCTAATTAAAGAGCAACCTTCAAACTTGCTGTTGGGTGACTTGCCATTGTGTGTAGAAATTAGGAAAAAATACGAAGAGGGGAAGGCGTTAACGAGAAAGAGGGAGCTGGAGGAAAATATACTGGTGTGGAGAGTCCACCATAATATCTAACGGATCTGATTAATCTAATGTATATGCACAACCTATACTACTATTGCATGCTAGAATTGGCCTATAATCTATAATTAAAGAATTAAGGAAATGTTACCTCTTCTAAGTTTTTCAGCATAATCCCTGCCCCGCTGGAAATAATCAGCACTGTAACTTGATGGAATGCTGAAATCTGACTTTGCCCGACCAACCATAAGCCTCTTTTCCTGCAGAAGCTTTTTGGCAGCCTCTGTTTCTTCAATATTTTTCAATTTATATCTGCAAACAAAGAAAAAAAAATCCATTAAGACACAGCACCTATTTTTCTTGCTAGATAAATTCATTTGTAAAGAAACGTTAAACAAAGACCACAAAATAATAGTAGCATCAAATAAGAAAAGTGAAACCACTATACTCAAAAAAAGCAAGAAAACATTGATAAGATGAATCATCAGGATTATATCATTGAAGATTGAGAAAAGGATTTTTCAACTTAAAAGACAGTCATTCCATTTCCAGTTGCATGTTCCCAACAATAGGCACCAAGTAACCCTAGATAAACTTATCACCCCGACTAAATACACATTGTCAATAAACAAATCGAAAGAAAAATGCAAAAAAAACAGTGCTAGATTATTAAATACTTTTTCTACAAACAAATCAAACAGAAAATGTGCACATGGGCCACAGCAATGAATATGGAAAAACATACTCTATTGGAAGCTGGATCTCCGCAATACCAGTGGTCCACTGTGTAGAGCTTTCTTCTGAATTTCGCTTTTTTACCTGCCAAAACACAAGAGTTTCAAAACAAGAAGCAAGAAAAGTCGTGCAATCTTAGAGTTTGTTTAGATAAATTTCTCAAAATTAGCTTGTAATAACAATAGCTACGTAATAAGTTTAAATTAGCTTTTGCACATCAGTTGTTTCAAAAGCACTCTCATTTAGAGAGTAGTCATTTCCTGATAGCGGCGCAGAGCGGCCGACCCCAAAAGTGGGACTGCTGAATAGCGTGTAGCGGGATAACTACTCTATTTGATCATTTTTTGGACAAATTACATATAATAATTATAAACATATATTTAATGTAAAATTAAACAAATAACTCAACTCATAAAATATTCATAAATCAAAGCACACATTACTCTTGAAGTGCATAAACAACTAAGAAGGAAGGTTAAGGTTGAGTCTCAACTCAAATTTGATCGAAAAACCCAAAATTACCCTTAAACTATTGTAAATTTAAGGGATAATTTTGGTTTCCTAGAGGGGAAAATGATAGCGGGCTAGAAACCGCTCAGGACCGAAAACCAGTGTGCTCCGCTATCCCACTATTTACCCTGAAGCGGCCGCTATAGTGTTCTACATAAGGCTCGTATAGAGACAGCGATAGTGTTCTACACAGCTAAGGCTCTTCCCATTGACTACTCTGCATTTAACTCTGCATTTAACTTCTGCATAAACATCTATAAGCTTATAAAAGACTACTAAAAAACTAAGAAACTCAAACCAAACGTTAATCTCAGCTGCACATAAAAGTATACCAGCTACTAGAAACTAAAAAAGTGAAAAAATGTTTACTTTAAGATGGTCAGGGATTGTATATAGTTCATCTTCAGCGCGTTTCAACTCATTCTCCACTTGATCTTCTTCATCAATATTTCTACCTCTCTTCTTCGCCAATTCCTGCTCAATATACTTAACCCTGTTCATTCGTATATCAATATCCATTCAAAATCAAAACTTTAAAAACTTAAATTCAATAAACTCAGCTAAAACACATACATATTGGGATCTTCATCCATAACAGCAGTCTCTTGAGCAAACGTGTCTTGAAGAACGAGATCATCCTTGTCACCGCCATCGCCGCCACCGCCGTCGTTCTTTTCAACTGCTTTAGCAGCTAAACCGCCGGAAAGTCCAGGATTAGATTGCTGCAAAGTAAGGTTTGCAGGAATTCCTGATTTCCGTTCTCTCTGCTTCTGGAGAAGCTTGATCTCTTCCAATGCCAATCTGTTGCGTCAATTTGATTAATCATTGGTGAAATAAAAACCCTAATATGAAATTTTTTGAGGAGAAATAAGAGAGAAACCTTCTTTCGTGTTCGTCGTCGGAATCGTTGTTTGATTGGGATTGTGGGAGTTGGTCGTGTTCTTCGGTTGGGTTTCTCTTTCGGTAGTTTTTCCTTCGCGGCTTCTCTTGTTTCGAATTTTCCATTGCTTTGCTCTTGTTCTTGATAGTAAATCATCGTATGCTGTTATTTATTTATTTATTTTGGCTAAAATAACCCTTATCTTATTTTATTTATTTAGTTGTTAAAATATACCTTTATCTTTTTTATATATTTCAGTTTAGTTATTTAATTTTGAGTTTTACGGTTCAATAAAAAAACATCTTTTCATATCATCTAACTAATTTTAATATATTTTAATAGTTGATAAAGTTTATGTTGTTAGTGTAAAATTCTGCATTTATTTTTTTTAAATTAAAAATAAAAAACATATTAATAACGTAACTTTTATTGTGCATATTTAACCAATTGATTTTTTTGTTTTAGAAAGTTACATATCTATACGAACTGACACTTTAATTTTGTCGCATAGATATTCTCATGGATGAATATAATTTATTGTGTTATGTTATTAAATTAGAGGTCTACACAAGTTGAGTTGGATAAGATTTGAGTTAATTTGTTGTATTATTCGTTCAAATTTCTATAGGAAAGTTTCATCGTTCAATCCATATTATGCATTTTAGCATTAGGTTGCATGCAAACATGTTTGGAAATGACTTATAAAGGATCCATGCATCATAAATTAAGTTTCTGCATAAAAAACTAAGTTTTTTGTGTGAAAAACATTGCACATGACCTATAGAAGCTTTCGCTTCAGCATAGGTTGACACATACCCCACTCAAGCCGACAACATGCCTCAATAATGAATGTTGTAGACATTTTTCATGTGTCGCCTCTTATAGGTCGACCTAAGACATGTATAGGTCGACACATTGTTTTCATATGTCGACCTATTAATATAAACACTTGAATTTTTGCATTCTTTTCATTTTCTTTTGTATGCTATTTGCTTTATATCTTGTATACATATATATACTGATACATGCATCATATTTAGTAAGGTTCTAGATTAAACCCTATATGAAACCAGGATTTCAAAATATATTCATCATCTTCTCCCTATCTTCTATGCGTACACACAAGCAAACTACACATAATCATTTTTCGAATGGGTGACCATCTATATTAGAGTTGATAACATCCAATTAGGTTGTTGTACCAAAAATATTGGGTTGAGTTCTTTGAGGGTTTCAAATAAGAAAGTCGAGTATGAGTTTTCCTTCAAGATCATTGAGGATTTGAAGGTTTTGGATAAGATTATACAATTGGGATCCGATCGAGTGAAAGTCTTAGGACTAGGGGTGCCTTGCAAAGGAGTAACGTGAGACAACAGACTATCTTGGTAAATCTTGGGTTTAAACAAGTGTATGCTTGGGATTAATTCGACTGCGTGAAGGCCTTGGGACAAGGAGGTTCCTTGCAAGGAAGTAGCAAGAATTGGTGAATTGAAGTGGCATTGTTGGTCA